AACTGAACTAGTACTAAAACAAGGCATGTATCACCGAAATATTAATTTTAACGACAAGTTTCCAGAATAAACTAAAATCTGAATTTATAAAGAGAATTATTCTACTTGGAAATTTAATAATATAAGAGAATATTTCTCTAACTATATGAATGCATGAGAAACTGTGTAATATTAATATTCTGTTATTGAATACAATTGCTGCTAATTACAAGAATGGACATTTCTCGCTTCTGAATAGGTTTAATGTTACAAGATTACACGAAGCTAATAATTATCTTTCATTTTCTTAAGCAGATATAAATTCCGAGAAGAGCTAAAATGTCTATTGTGAAAGGGAACATTGTTCAACTTCACAATAGACATCTAAACAACACTTGTATCATACAATTTACAGTACTTGTTGTTTCAATGCAGTTTATAACATTCTCATAAATAAATAAATGTTTCGAGTCAGCTGCTTGATGAGTAATGCTAAAAGTGCATAACAGTCGTCTTCAGTACTATTAATCATATGGAAATTGTATAAATGCAATTACTGGATTTTTTCATCTACAATCTTCTAATGCAATTTATAAGAGAGAAAAGGTAAGAAAAGTGAGAATAGCTTGTAAAAATAAATGGCATATGGCAATTGATTCTCAATAAATCGAGAATAATGCTATTTTCTTACTTAGACTTAATGGAAGTTTCCTTTTTTCTTACAGTGATTAAAGTGGTCAGGGTTGGCTTGATATGTAAAGTACCTAGAGGACATAATTTTATCTTTTTATTCCTGATGGAAAGATAAACAATATATGAAATACTATATTTACAGAGAAACATTTCTTATAAACAAAATTCTTTTAGAAAAATAAAATATTAAATTTATAATGTATCAATAAATAATATATGTTACTGGAGATTTATCACTATAATGGAAAATGAAGCAGAAAATAAATAAAATAAATGGAAAACATGATGTATAGGTTTACATTTTATATAATAACTAGCTGTTACCCGCGACTTCGTCAGCGGAGGTTTTGCAAGCAAACCCCATTTACATCCAATATTTCAATAACCATAGTAATTGTTATATAACACCTACCGCTGAAGAGAATTGCCGAAAATCAAACGAACTATTTTCAATTTGATCAATTTTCTGAAACGTTTACAATCGTTCTATAATCGAACCAATACGCAATAACAAATTCGAATTTAAAAC